CGATATATCCGCATCTCCATCTTCCCACTTGTGTAATGCCGCGAGCATTTTATCAAACGATCCAACTATAACGTCCTTTGGCGTCTGATTCACGATGGATAGTATGTAAGTTCATCTACTAACGACGTGAGTCATTACACTCTGATTCGTTTAGACACCAATCGAGATTGACATTTTCGTAAAACAGATGGTAAACTCTATATCTATTAATCAACAACTATCTATTAATCAGACGGGGCTCTTATTATTACACACTTCGTAATATGTAATATCTGATAATCTCTTTGTCGTATACAATCTATTCTTGAGCATATCCTTGAAATTATCCCTATAATCAGTTGAGAGCTTTCAACATTTATTTCAAATGATAATTAAAATAATTCGCATGTAAACTGTATAAGGAGTGATACTATAATTGATAAAGTAATTGAAGATATACTTTAAAAAAATAAATTTAGTCACTAATCTTATGCATTTGCATTTGACAAAACTATTTATTAAGATAATGTTAAATGTTTATTAAAATCTATATGCCTTTATCAGAATGGTATTCACGCTCAGCATAGAAAATTAATTTGTGAGACCAAAAAAAAAAAATTAAATTACTATTCAAAGATTAAAATTTAATTTTTTTTTTATTTTGAAAATTAATTTCAATTTTTATTTGATTATTTAAATCAAATTCATTGTGTTCTGACTACAGTCATCGTGTACAGTTAACAAAAAATGTTTCAGAATTCAAGCCAAATTTAATTTTTTAATTCATCATTAACTCAATGAAAAAATTTATATTGATTTAAGACTATATCTTGGTGAAGATTTATTCTTAAATTAAAATAACATTTTTTGAGTGAGAATGGTAATAGATAATTAAACAAGTAGAAAACAGTAAATAATATTTAAATCACAATAAATGATAAAGTAAAATTTAAAACAACATAGTGACAAAAAAGAGAAAGATAGTATCATGCAAAATATTTTCACTGACAATACAATTTAATGTGATACATAAACATACCAAACATACAATAAAAATTCCGATTTCCCTACCTACGATTTTTGGAAACGAAAAAATTTTCATTCACTCATTCAAAAAAATGAATCTACCTAACCATATTATCTACCTATTTATTTTAAACCTATTTTTTACCAGGTCAAACACTCCACGATTCTCTCACATTCCGCCCAGGTGCTTAAAACCTACACTAGGGATAAAGGGGCACGTTAGGCTCCCATACGTCCCGGGACGCATCCGTCACCTGAGCTCAAAATAATAGCAATTCTAAAATATGTAAAATAATTTAACAGAGATCACAGTCATTTTTCCATGTAATAACGTAAAAAAAGGATTTTAATTTTTAGAATAAGAAAAAAAACAATTCTTAACAAATTGTAATACGTTCGAAGAAAAATGTAGTAATTTTTATGCAAAAATTAACTAAAGAAATAATAAACTCTATTTATTAATAGTAATCAATATTTCCAGAGTAAACACAATAATATCCAAAGTAAATTTTAATAAAAATACAAAAACATTCATTAAACTTAGTTAAATAGTAAAATAATAAAAAATAGTACTGGAAAATAGTACAAATTGACAGACATTATTTTATATTTGTTACCTTCGTTAAAAAAATGTTAATAATTGTAAGTGTAATTGTAATTTGTAAAAAAAGCTAAAATTAAAAGAAAAGGTAAACAAATCTTTAAAATAAACTACATATGCTTTAATACAAAAAATAACTATCTAATTAATTAGAATTATAAAATTACAATTATACCTTGAATAAAAATGTCTAAATTTAAAAATTCTGAGAAAATTATTTTAAAAGATTTTAAATTTCAAATAACTAAAATTTTTCCAAAGTTCGAAAAAAGTATAAATAAAAGAAGGGAAAAGAGAAAAAATGGAGATTAATTAAAAAAGAGGACAAACTGTGATCTCTGTAATAAACTGAAAAAAGAACTTGTATAAATAGTATTTTACTCAATCTGTCAAGAAAATTTACTTTAATTTCGTGAATTACAAAAAATATAAAATTTAACAACAAATTTTTCTGAATCCGTCCAAAAAATTAACCTTAACTTTGTAAATTACACAAAATAAAAAATTTATCGAATTTTAATTCTAATTTTGTGAATTAAATACAAATTTAAAAATCCAACAAGAAATCTTTACATTTAACTTTGAAAATTAAAAACAAACTCTAATTAAAAATAGTAAATATTGTAAATGATTTTAAATTTAACAATTTAATGCAATTTTTTAAATTTTTGTAAATTAAGAAAAAAATTACCAATTTAGTTTCAAAGACATTAGAAAAAAATTACTTTAAATCGTATGCAAAATCACAAATTATTGACAATTGAATAACAAATAATACAAAATAACATACATAAACAATAATAAACATTAACAAAATATTAGTTTAAGTATTTATAAAAATACTGTAAAAAAATATTTTGTTAATGGTGTCACTATGTTGTTGGAGTTCCTTCTCTGTTTTGCATATTTAGTTCATTTTTAGAACAGATTAATATGACGTATTTATTTAAAAAAAGATCAAGAAAGCAGATTCAAAATTAATAAAATAAAAATATTATTTACAAACACAATTTTCAATCTCTTATTTCAGTTCATGGTGAATAATTTTAAATGAAAAAAAATTGACACATGTTTTGTCGCAAACAGAGAAGGGTAAAAATCGGCTTAAATTACAGAGAAGTAAAAATCGGCTCTTAACCAACTCACCGAACGGTGTTTCCCCCGTTGGGCGATGGATGCTATGCCATCGCACTTCCTCTGGAAGAATAGGTCATTCCTGTAGGTCCTCGTACATGTCCATGTGAATCCAGTGCCCAGAAAATATTTATACATTAACAAAAGTCATTATGATCTCAAACTGATTATAAAATAAAAGTTGATTAACTTACAATTGTTATTCGCTTAGCTGTATTAAGTCACCTCCTGAAACAACTCTGTAACCTACAATTGTCTCTCCAGAAACGGGAATCTGTAAATAAAAAAAAATCACATTTAAAAAATATTTCATTTGAAAAATTGTTTCTAAAATTAAATCAATTTGTTGATGGGATAATACTTACCGAAGGAAAATTATCATCGGTCTATAAGAATTGCTTGTAATTGTCAGAGATTATTCCGCAAGACAGAAATTGAACTTTTCGTTTTTTATGACTCCGACTGTCGTTGAATCTCTTTGTCAGTTTTCTTTTCATTCTTTCAAAACATTCAGTCAGGAAATAATATTTCCCTTGTTTATAATTGGCTTTAATAAAATTACTCATATTTTTCTGAAAAAGAATAAGTACCTATTTAATTAAAAATGTTAATATAAATACATATTTAGACAATTTTATAAAATTAACGTTAAATATGATAATACTTAATATTTAAAATTGTCAAACAATGGGCGAAAAACTAAAAAAAATTTTAAATGAATTACCCTTTGATAAGAACCAAGTTGAACGAAAAATGCTGGGCTATTGCAGTTCCTGGTGATGAATGTGACATTCCGACGATCCAGGCTCGGTAATAATGTACTTCATCGAGGAAAGCACGGATGTACTTAAAAACGGATGAATTTTTTACTTCCTGGAGCAATAACCTTGAACTGCGTTTAGTTTTGCTAATCCTCTTCCGAAAATAATTGTAAATATACTACAATCGCATAAGTCAAAAGATCCTTTCTTATATCGTTTGGATGATTTCGACTGTTTATAAATCTCCTTGGCACACTTATTCTCATCTTTCTATACTTTGTGTAGACAAAAATTAGCAAAAAATAAATCTGAAAAAAATATTTACTTAAAATTGAAGTCGACTTTAATTGTATTTGTTTCTATAAATCGATTTGAAACAATCAAAATAATCTTGTCAAACATAACCTAAAATTCTCATTATGTTTCATAGAGAAACCGCTAGAATTACTGTTTTATCGATTTTGGATAATCTTCGATTTCAAACTTTAATAAAGAAATCTTATTTTTCGATTGCGTAAGTTTTGCTTTAAAATATAGAAACTTACCGACAGATATTGAGAATTGTCAATTATCCTTCACGGACTTTATTGTTGATAGCCATCGTGGCTCGCCTTCCGGTTTACGATTGTCATTCTTTTCCCCATGTAAATTGCCGAATGTGTACAAAAAATGGAAAAAGAAAAGTGCATTACTATTATACCAATAAAAATTTATTTTCTTTAAGGAATTAAACAAAATCTATTCTCAAACAGAGCCCGAAATTGGCAACAATATTGACATTCTCCCAAAATATTGGAAATAGTGAGCAAATGGAAATATACTGCCTAAATTTTCGGTGCTATCTAATGTAAGTTACAGTAGAATCCTAACCTATAATATTATAGGTATATCAACAAACTAATAATATATTAGAATCGTTAAAAACTACACAAAAATATAAATAGAACTTTTGAGGTTAACAAAGTTTATGTCAATTGAGATAATAGTTCGCCTTTTGTCTACCAGTGGCGCTTTCAGTAGACTGATTCACTGATATTCAATTGAGATAATAGTACGCATATCATCTACAAAATAGCGCTTTCAGTAGACTGATCGATAACAATAATAATAGAAAATACAATATTACCATGCAGGCATTATCCTCCATTCGATGAGTAATGAAATACCTCTAAAAAAAATTTCCATGCAGCGCAGTCCTTCCCGTAAAAAAATCCAGTGCGAACTGGAGAAAATCTGCCGAGGTCGTGGTATTTACGTTGCAGCCAAATGCTTGCCTCACGCTTATTGGCTGCGCGCTCTCGTTGCGATTACGACCAATCAGTGCGCGACTCAAGTCGCCCCTCTACTTTCCCGCTGATCTACTCCCACCCTGCAGTCTAACGCAGTGGCTCTAGAAGGCGCACCAATCAGAAGCGACGTTCCCAGTCGCTTGTCCTGGAGTCACGTAAATACGGACGCTTTTCCAGTTGCTTCCTCAGTTCGTTCTAAATAATGCCAGAGGCGGAGCTCACGTCGAATAAAAATTGTTTTCTATCCTAAAGTTCATCTTTCACTGTATACAGCTGTATGAATATGATCTATTAATGCTTTTTAAATACAGGGCATCAACAATTAGCCATTAAAGAGCAACTCTAATGTGGTTAATTATTATACTTCTAATAAATACGGTAAGTAAAATAAGGTTATGATTTTTATTGTCACAAGCATCACAAGAGTTTTTGATTACATTAGTTCGACTTTCTACTGAACCTTTTAGTAAATAGTTAATTATTTCTGAATAATTGTAATTTTCTACATAATTATTACAATGTATAATTCTAACCTCACTTTTATATGTCGACTTACTATAAAATATTATTGTATTTTTAATTATTTCTTTTTTTATATTGCTTACAGTTTTAAATAGTGCGCCATGAGCTGAGGCAGTGAACTGGCGCAAGCGCAACCGACGGACGTGGTGCTAGAATGCTAGTTGTTTCGTGCTGTTCGTGCTGCCCTGGTGCTACAAACATGGTGCAATCACGTGTAATCGGCATTTGCTTTGCGTGAAGTAAGTCAATTTATTTATAATTCTCAATAGTTTTACATTTTAAAAATCAAATAATAAATTGATTTCCAGATATATTACGGTTAGTTAGTACTTTATTTGTTATTAGTGCTAGTTGTTTTACTGTCATCAGCTGACAATGTTTTTTATTCTTTATTCTGAAAGGATTATTATTTCACTTATTGTGACGAAGAAAGCTAAAAAGAAATCCTCAGGATAGAAAAATGTATTAAAATTTTCTTATTTTTTAATAAGATTTTGTGTTTCAATTGTTCAGAATGGATAAAAATAGTTATGAACAGTAACAATAATATTGTGCGTTAAATGCAACAAAGAAACAACAGACAGTCAACTTGAGTTTTTTCTACAGGTCGATTTTTTTCAAGAAGTAAATATTCTTTTCTGTTCAACTAAATTTTCCTGAATGTAATTTCTGTTGAGAGACTTAATATTTAATACTAATTTTGAGAAATATTTTATTCCTTCAAACTAATTTTTTTGTAGGTTATGTTTTTTTAAATAAAACTTTTCCGTCGTATACAGTACGGAATTAAATTGTAATTGTCAAATGACAAATGACACTTAGCGAAAAGTGAATATTGAAATGAGAAATGCTTTTCAATTATAGTAAGTTTGTTGACTTTTAACAAGTTGAAATATAAAATGCAATAAACATTTATGTTTTTAAAAGCAGAATGATCTTGTGAATATTAAATTTGTTATGAATGACTAGAATTCAGACATAAATTAATTTTTTAGTGTATTGTTATTCATTTATTACTTGAAAGTCTTATTGGAGAGAGATAATTATCATGTTTATATAATTAATAACGATTTTAGAAGATGAATTTTTTATCATTAATCAAATATTAAAAATAAAAAATGAGCTTTATTAATAATATTATTAAAAATTGGAAATAATTTCTAGGCACGTGGTTCAGAGATAAGATGATTCGTCCATTTTCACATGTGGATAAACTTTCATTGCAAAAGTGTTTTCTCTGGGCAGAAATCTTCGGGAATGGCCCATATTATTTATTAGCAGATTCCAGTTTCTCGAGAGAGAATTATTGGTTGTAGAAGTGCTCCAAAAGGAGATTTAATACAGCTCAGCGCAATTTAATGTAAGTTGACCAACTGTGTTCATAAATTAAATTAAATTTGTTCACTGATTAATTTACCAAAATAATAATATAACTACAATTAAATGAGAATTAAAAAATCATCTGTAGGCAGGGCGTCTACTAATCCGAAAATTCAAAAAATAGTCGGGAATTTACTTTCACCGAAAATAAGCCGGGAATTTTTTCACCAAATTAAAAAAAGTTTTATTATTTTAATTTGTTTTTAAAAAATCGATTTCATTTCAATTTTTATAGATATTTATACTGTTCTCTAAATTTGAATTAGTTAAAAATAATTATTTTGATAGTAAAAAATTTTATTAAAATTCGTCGAAAGAATTCAATTATTTCTAGAAACTGTAAAAAAATTCTTGTCAAGAATTCAATTATTTTCAAAAATTTTAATAAAATTCTACGCAAATATTTACCTAATTATTTTTTTTAAGTAATAACATTTTTTGGAAGGATTCAATTTCTTTTATAAATATTAAAATTCTTTGCAGAAATTCAATTAGTTTCAATACATTTTAATAAAATTGACTAATAAAATTTTCAATTATAATTATGAACAAAGAAGATTATTTTAAAAAATTGAAAAAATTCTTTGTTTAATTCAATTATTTTCCAAATTTTTAATTAAAATTATTAAAAAAACATTATTTACAAAAAATTTAAAGAAACTCATCAAAGAAGTTAATTTTTCATAAAAACTCTAATACAAAATTTTGGAAGTCATTTGTAGATTTATTTATGTTCGAAATCAAATGAGAGATAGTCGATCACTCCGAGTAAGGATCCTGACTCGGAGTGATCGACTATCTCATCGTTTTTATTAATTTATCGACCGAGTGATAACATCATTACTACATACAAATAAATTTAAATTTGATGAGAAAAATTAGGACAAAGCCGGTAAAAAACCGGGAATTTTTTTGAACAAAAATAGTAGACACCCTGCATCTGTAGGAGAATTTGAATTAATTGTAAGTGTAGTTAAAAGTAAATTGATCAACATTTTATAAAATTGTTTATTAATTGATTATTTATTTATAATAATTACATTAATTCATAATATTTATTTTTTTCTTTATTTATTATATATTTATTCATAAGAATTAATTATATTTATGGAATATGTAGAAAGAAATTTATATTATTAAAATATTTTTAATTGTGACTAATTTGCAGGTGGTTTATCCAGGAAGCGAAAGATTTGTCCGTTCTGAAGTATCTGTTCTGTCATCGACGAAATGCATTCATGGAACGACGGTCTTCCGAAGTGTTACATTTCTGATCAGGAATCGCAATAGCTTAGAATTCATCGCCCAACGTGGATTTTGCAAAATAGTCATTTCAAAATTCGTAAGATTGTTTAAACCAATATATATATTAACATATTTACTTAAATTCATTTTTAATTAAGTATTTATTTTTTTAAAGAGAAAAATGATAGGTATCACATGATTGAGCCACTTGCAAAAAAGAAAATAATAATTTCTGATTGGGCACCATACAAGGATGAGAAGAAATATTACTATGAGATTTAACGACAATCGCAATCATCCAAACAATAACTCCATTTTCGACTTCAGAGATGTGATTATGGTAAGTCTATGATTATGTTAAATAATTTACTTGCTTGCTACTCGTTAAATTAAAATTTTTTTTCCTGAACTTCTAATTAGTGGCCCCCTTCCTGTTTAACATTTTCATACAAAAATTCTTTTTAGGTTATGCTAATTATATAATATTTAAACCAATTTTTAAATTAGATTTGTATTTATTATGTATAATATTTATATTTATTCATAATGTTGATCTTATTCTGTTTCAGAAAATAAAGGTATGAATCATGTGAATAAAATCAGATGCAAGTAACGAGAAAATTAATTTCTGACGGAATAAAATACAAGAATGAGAAGAAATGTTACACTGACGATAGTTGCAATAAAAACAGTTGAATCATTCAAACAATAACTTTATTTTCTGTCTTGAGGGATACAATTAAGGTATGTCTATTGTTATGTCGAGTAAATTATTTCTTACAGCTAATTAAATTAAATTATATTCTCTCAGACTTTTAATATTTATTAATATATTTTATCTGCAGGTTTCTCTTTTTGGATAAAAACTTATTGGTTCTACGTCTTTAAAAAGTGATTCAGCGAATTTGTAAGTAGATTAATAATTAAGTTGATCAAAATTGAATATTTTCTAAAATTGCTATTAATTATGTATAAATAATAATTATTCTTATAAAATAGTAATTAATAGCGATTTTAGAAAATTAATTCTTTATCATTGATAAAATATTTAAAAATATTAATTACTTTTGTTAATAATTTGAAAATAATTTCAGGGTACTTGGTCCACTTGCTGTCACCGTGAAAGCGTATTCTCCGGAATGGGAACCTTGGGAGTGGCCCATACCAGAAGAGGAGGAATTCGTCTGCATGGAAATATCAAAGAGGATATTCTGTCACCGGTTAAGGATCTACAGGATTGGCCTGTTTCAGGAGAGGAGGAATTCGTCTGCTTGTGCCGTCACCCTACATGGAGAGAAATATTAGAGCAGCACGATTTTTCAATTCTTTTTTACTTCCCTGTACGAAAATCTACAGCAATGACCTATTTTAGGAAGAAATTCTAATAGACCGATGATAATTTCCCTTCGGTAAGTATTATCCTATCAACAAATTGATTTAGAGAGATCCGTTTCTGGATGAAACTCATTTAAATTTGTTTTTCAGTTTTTCGCCCATTGTTTGACAATTTTAAATATCAAGTATTATCATATTTAACGTTAATTTTATAAAATTGTCTAAATATGTATTTATATTAACATTTTTAATTAAATAGGTACTTATTCTTTTTCAGAAAAATATGAGTAATATATTAAAGCCAATTATAAGCAAGGGAAATATTATTTCCTGACTGAATGTTTTGAAAGAATGAAAAGAAAACTGACAAAGAGATTCAACGACAGTCGGAGTCATAAAAAACGAAAAGTTCAATTTCTGTCTTGCGGAATAATCTCTGACAATTACAAGCAATTCTTATAGACCGATGATAATTTTCCTTCGGTAAGTATTATCCCATCAACAAATTGATTTAATTTTAGAAACAATTTTTCAAATGAAATATTTTTTAAATGTGATTTTTTTTTATTTACAGATTCCCGTTTCTGGAGAGACAATTGTAGGTTACAGAGTTGTTTCAGGAGGTGACTTAATACAGCTAAGCGAATAACAATTGTAAGTTAATCAACTTTTATTTTATAATCAGTTTGAGATCATAATGACTTTTGTTAATGTATAAATATTTTCTGGGCACTGGATTCACATGGACATGTACGAGGACCTACAGGAATGACCTATTCTTCCAGAGGAAGTGCGATGGCATAGCATCCATCGCCCAACGGGGGAAACACCGTTCGGTGAGTTGGTTAAGAGCCGATTTTTACTTCTCTGTAATTTAAGCCGATTTTTACCCTTCTCTGTTTGCGACAAAACATGTGTCAATTTTTTTTCATTTAAAATTATTCACCATGAACTGAAATAAGAGATTGAAAATTGTGTTTGTAAATAATATTTTTATTTTATTAATTTTGAATCTGCTTTCTTGATCTTTTTTTAAATAAATACGTCATATTAATCTGTTCTAAAAATGAACTAAATATGCAAAACAGAGAAGGAACTCCAACAACATAGTGACACCATTAACAAAATATTTTTTTACAGTATTTTTATAAATACTTAAACTAATATTTTGTTAATGTTTATTATTGTTTATGTATGTTATTTTGTATTATTTGTTATTCAATTGTCAATAATTTTTTATTTTGCATACGATTTGAAGTAATTTTTTCTAATGTCTTTGAAACTAAATTGATAATTTTTTTCTTAAGTTACAAAAATTTACAAAATTGCATTAAATTTTTAAATTTAAAATCATTTACAGTATTTACTATTTTAAATTAGAGTTTGTTTTTAATTTTCAAAATTAAATGTAAAGATTTTTTGTTGGATTTTTAATTGAGTATTTTTGATTCACAAAATTAGAAATAAAATTCGATGATAAATTTTTTATTTTGTGTAATTTACAAAGTTGAAGTTAATTTTTTAGACGGATTCCGTAAAATTTGTTGTTAAATTTTATATTTTGTTTAATTCACAAAGTTAAAGTAAATTTTTTTGACAGATTGAGTTAAATACTATTTATACAAGTTCTTTTTTCAGTTTATTACAGAGATCACAGTTAGTCCTCTTTTTTAATTAATCTCCAGCTTTTCTCTTTTCCCTTTTTATACTTCTACTCTTTTCGAACTTTGGAAAAATTTTAGCTATTTGAAATTTAAAATATTTTTATATAATTTCCTCAGAATTTTTAAACTTAGAAATTTTTATAGAAGGTATAATTGTAATTTGTAATTCTAATTAATTAGATAGTTATTTTTTTGTATTAAAGCGTATGCAGTTTATTTTGAAGATTTGTTTACTTTTTCTTTTAATTTTAGCTTTTTTTTACAAATTACAATAACACTTTCATTTATTAACATTTTTTATCCAAGGTAACAAATATAAAATAATATCTGTCAATTTGTACTATTTTACGGTACTATTTTTGATTATTTTACTATTTAACTAAGTTAAAAAATTGTTTCTGAATTTTTATTAAAATTTCCTATTTCGGATATTATTGATTACTCTGGAAATATTGATTACTATTAATAGTACATTTTTACTATTACTTTAGTTAATTTTTGCATAAAAATTTTTTAAATTTTCCTTGAACGTATTATAATTTGTTATTTTTTTATTCTAAAAATGAAAATCCCCTTTTTTACTTTATTATACGTAAAAATCACTGTGATCTCTGTTAAATTATTTTTACAATTTTAGTATTACTATTATTTTGAGCTCAGGTGACGGATGCGTCCCGGGACGTATAGGAGCCTAACGTGCCCCTTTATCCCTAGTGTAGGTTTAAAGCACCTTGGCGGAATGTGAGAGAATCGTGGAGTGTTTGAGCTGGTAAAAAATAGGTTTCATGTAAATAAATAATATGGTTAGGTAGGGCTAGATTTTTTTGAATGAGTGAATTAAAATTTTTTCGTTTCCAAAAATCGTAGGTAGGGAAAGCGGAACTTTTATTGTATGTTTGGTATGTTTATGTATCACATTAAATTGTATTGTTAGTGAAAACATTTTGCATGATACTATCTTTCTCTTTTTTTGTCACTATGTTGTTTTAAATTTTACTTTATCATTTATTGTGATTTAAATATTATTTACTGTTTTCTACTTGTTTAATTATCTATTACCATTCTCACTAAAAAATGTTATTTTAATTTAAGAATAAATCTTGGCCAAGATATAGTCTTAAATTTGTAATATAAATTTTTTCATTGAGTTAATGATGAATTAAAAAATTAAATTTGGCTTGAATTCTGAAACATTTTTTGCTAACTGTAAACGATGACTGTAATCAGAACACAATAAATTTTATTTGATTTAAATAATCAATCACTATTATCATCAATAAATATTTACTTGAAACAAATGTAGTTTATTTAAGTCAAATTAATTGCATTTGAAATAATAAATTTTATTTAAATCAAATAATTTGCATTTGATTTAAATAAATATTAAATTTAAATAAATAAATTCAGTGCTTGAAGCAAACCCATTTAATTGTTTTGAATGAAACTTATTTGATTCAATATTCATTTGGATAATAGACAAGTAATCGGTTATTTGAATCATTTAATTTTTTCCCAGTGTAATCAGTCACTAATCAGTGATAGTATTTTTGATAAAATAGTCATCTTGTGATTAGTTATCGTTTAGATACTATATCAAATACTCCTCTTTCGTGTATCAGTTGAATTTGCCCTCTGCTCGCGCACTACAATTACGTTTACGGTCGGTCAGTGAGGCGGGAAAGGTCGACTGTTGATGCAATTGGTTTTGATGCGGTTTGGGTTACTGGGACACGTTAAAAATAAAGCAAGAAAAATCAAACAATATTGAATGACGGGACTTGTGAACGGCTTTCATCCGCAAATCCCCTTATTTATTATTTTCTTTTTTCTTTCAAAAGAGAATTATTTCTCCCTTTGTGCATTTTTATTGAAATATATATCAAGTGCGAAACTTACTAGGAATAATTTAATTTTCTCTCTGCTGCCGCTACTGCTGCAGAAATTTTAAATCTAATTAAGTGTATGTTCAATGCTGTGATTTATGAAAGAATTTTAATTATTACTTTTCATACTATTGAATCCACAAGCATAAATTATTAAAAATTCTATTTTGATAAAGAATATAATAATTATTAATAATTTTATTTTGATAAGGAATGCAATATTTATTATAGTTAAATTCTACTTTTTAATTGTACTTCTATTATTTGTTTGATATCTTTGCAATTTATTCATATATTCGTAGTTGAAAAAAAACCTTTTTGAAAGAAATGAAATATTTTATTCATATTATGTCATGTTTATTATAAACATTCGGAATTCCTTGATTAATATTACAACTTTTATTCTCTTCATTAGGGTATTTATTTTTTTTTTTTTTAATAAATATTTTTATAATATATACAAACGAGGTAAATTCATAAGGAAGATTTTAATTTTTATGATAAGAATTTCTTAAATGAGACTAATTAATTATTATAAAAATTTGCGGGATTGAACTTGGTTTGTTATTTTGAAAAGCGCAATATAAAATAATAATAATTATTAGAGGCGAAAGATTCATATCTTGTAAAGTGCAAAGAGTTTAGTATTCTTTAAAGAAAAGTCATGATAAACAATTCTTGGAAACGCTATTCATCTACCTAATTATTTTCAACTCTATGCATCACCTTCATGTCATATACACACGTTCTAACTTTCACAATAATTATAGTATTTGTGTGCTTTTTATAATACCAACACTGATCTGCTTGTAATTATGAAAATTGTGCATCACAATATGCATGACATAATATGTTTAGTGTATCGAGTTTTCATTCATAAACTATGTTGTAATATTACTAAATCCAAGGATATTGTAATTTTTCCCATAAAGTTTATATATTTTCTATTAATTGCTGAAATATTAATATTTATAAAATTTTTTCAACTGAAATTTGTTTATTAATATTATGTTGTAATTATATAATTATATCATAGGTATATAATATAATTATACATATAATTATTAATTATAATATAAAATTAAATTAAAATATAAAACTATATATAAATTATGAATAAAATGTTTTATGGACAACAAAAGTCAAATTCAAAAGTAAACGTAAAATTATTTAGATTCGAAAAAAGTTGATAACAAAAGTAATAATTAACAATTTTAATAATAGAGTGTAGTTTGTCATATTCTATAGTGTAAGTGGACAGTCCGCGTATATAACTTTGTCTGACTATACGCTGAGTGTTCTACTGAAAGAAATCGAATTCATAACGAAATGCACTTTATGGTCAGAGCATTGGCATACTTTTTTTTGTTTGTTGACTACTAATTATAATTAATTTAGTTTTATGTTCTCTGAAATTACACTTGCATAAAATACATTGTAGAAGTTGGTTATTATCGTGGAAAAGTGATATAATTTATTACTCAACTTATTTTACATTAGAATGAATTTTCCAGAAATAATAACAATAAATTTCTTTTTTTTGCAATTAATAAATCAGTCTTCTTTCATTAATTATTTAAATTCATTTATATGTAAATTATTCAATCAAACTGCTTATGCCAAGAACTTTTTTTTTTATTTCTTTGTACTCTTGAATTTATTAATATTTTCAATTTAATTAATTCTTTTACTTACCTTTATAATTTAGAATATTTCTCTTGATTACTAGCAAATAATAAATGAATGAGTGATAAGAGTTAAATCCTTTCATAGTTTAATTGATATTAATAGAATAAATGATCATGGGAAGGTGAAAATTGAATGTACCACAATGAATGTGTTGTACTTTTTTTAAAAAAAACTTTTTAATTATATTGACGAGTTAGAACGCGAATTTTATATTTTAACGACTTTGGTAGAATATTTTTAAACATATTTATTAGTTTAGTGCAAAATATTGTTTTCAGACCTTTATAAATATTGAAGTATTTTTTTGTTTAAATAAATTTAGCCTGATGAGGTTGGCAAAACCTTAGAAAACGAAACGTCGCATTTCTGACGATATATTGAATTTTTATTCAATTTTCACCTTCCCATGATCTTATTCTATTAATATCAATTAATAAATTAAACAATAATAATTGAATTAATATAATTAAAATTTAGAGTATACGAAAATTTTATTAAACTTTATTATAGAAGATTGTTTATTAACTTATTAACATTCAATAACTTTAAAAAAATAATTTGTGACGCACTCCGAAGCAAAAAATAGTAGATTATGTTTATAAATTTTTAAATAAAAATACACAAATTGAATCGAGTTTTTACTATGAAACACAGTTAAAATCTTTGTTATATTTAAAATAATTAATAAAAACAGATTTTAGTTTTCTAAAATTGAACAAATTTTTAATTATTATTATTTATTATTTATTAAGGTTAAAATAAGACAAACATAACGTCAAATTTTTTTTTTGTAAGGTACGTTTCTTCAGAGCGCGTCACATTTTTTAATTTAATTAACCAAATCATTTAATTTGGAGACATATTGTTAACTAAAAAGTTTATATTGAAAAATAATTATAGGATTATTTAGAAACATCAATATTTAACAAAACCCTGCATTTATTTATTTATTCACATTCTGTACAAAGATATTTTACATAAAATCTGTTTATAACTATTTCCTATCACATTCATTCAATTCCAAAATGCTAACGTGTTTATTCGCAGATGACTTTTTCTAATTTAAACTTATTCTTTCTTTTTTCGGTATAGATATTAAAATTTATTTCTATAAATATTTTGAAGAAAAAAACACTGTACTCGGTTTTTTTTTACTTTAAACTAAACTGTTGAGTCTATACTGAAATACCAGATGAAAACAGATGTTTTTAACAATTTTTAATTATGGACGCTGTATATTTTATTAAAGAGAACAATATAGGTAGACGAAAATCTTAAAATAAAGTTTATTGCTTTCATTATATTTTATTTTTCTGGGGATGACATTCGAATGACTGTATTATGTTAATTCGTATAATCGTATGCATTATTAATTTTTATAATTAAACTGATCATTAAAGAAGCGATAAAACTAAATAGAATTTTTTGCTTTATTGTCTTAAATAATTAGTAAAATTTAAATATAAAAGATTTCCTTTTTATTTAAATTTAAAATTAAATTTTTTTTTAAAATTAAAAACTCTTTTTTTATAAAAATAAAGTAATTAAACAATTTTGAAAAGCCATCTTATACACGTGTTGAAAAAAAATAACTAAAACAGGTATTAAAATTGTTTACAATTGAACCTAAAGAATACTATTTCTGTGGTAACGCACCTGTCTTATTTATTATAAAAGAGGTAATAACAATCGCTCATTAACACACTAGAGAAATTTTGAATCCCACCAAAAACCGGGTCCCATCCATTAAAACTTAATAATTATTTTTTTTTTTTTGAAGTACTAACGAATCAACATACATATACATTTATAAATATTATGACGATTTTCTTGCGTTCAAGTGTACTTAGCACATTATGGTACAGACAGTTTGATTCTCATTTTAGAATCTGACGTCGAAGATTTATTTATTTATTTCTTAACAATATTAAACGTTTTTTATTTTCTGGCCAGCATTTGATTCTTATAGAATTAAGGCGCAAAAGTCGTACATAGTGTCTGCGTGACGCACATTTGATTCAGGAAAAGAATATAATAATAAATGAAAGTTCTTTTTAGTAATATTTCTAAGTTTTGTTAATTTTTCTTTTAATGACTAATCGCTAAAACCTAAATTAGAAAAACTTTGGAATTCTTTATATTTTTATATTACTTTTTATAATTAATTTTATCTAATTATAATTTGTAATTTAATTCCATTAGATTCTATATATCTTTCGGTCACTATTTCAAAAAATATTTTTATAAAATTACAAATGTTTTTCTTACTTCTAGAAAAAATATAAATTTTACACTAATGAAGAATAGTTTGACAGAAAAATGTTTGTTTGATTTTTGTGTAAACCAAATTTTTTGGTGTAATGAGAATAAATTTGTTTTACCAAATTTTGTCAATAAAATCTAAAAATATTAGCCAATTTTTTACTTTAGGTAAAGTAGTTACTAAGTTAGTTAAAATATATTTAACGTAAAACAAAATTTCGTTGGAGCAAGTACAAAAAGTTTGGTTTGCATAAATATTAAACATTTAGTTGTCATTGTCGTATATCTTGACAGAATTTCATAAATCTTAAATCAATCTTCGATTCGAAATTTTATTATCCGTTTTTATTTGTTAAAAAAGCTTCTTTGGTTCGAGGAAAGTTTATTTGGGTTAATGAGTATTTTATATTTCTTGAATAAAATAAAAAAATCTAATAAGTTATCAAATTATCGCTAATTTTGATTTGAGAATATTTTGATCAAATAAATAAATATCAAACATAATTAATCAATTATCGGCGATTGGTTATTTCTTTGAGTTATTTTTCATTTGTCGCAGTGTAATTTAGCGATTAATCTATTCACAATTGTTTACGCAGTAAATCATTTAATTAATTCTTTTCCGAATCAAGTACATAAACTGTCATCAGTCCTGAGGAACAAAATCCAAAGTTATGGCAGACACTGGTCAAAGACCAAATCAGTAATTGATCTTTCAACCCCATTTAGCAGCTATACTGTACAGCGATCTGAGTAATTCTAGTGCTCTACTGTCCGAAAGCGATGTCTCATCTTCAACTAAAGCACTTCTAGACTCAGCAATCGCTGGATTCGATGACGAATGATATTCCGTATCAGGAACAGGTGTTGTTGATTTAAATTTTCTCCCCTGTCGATTTCTAAATGTTGTTATCGATGGTTCCGTGACGGCAATAAAAGTTTGAATAACTCTCGATTTATCTGATTTTAAATTATCATCATTATTTCCAAGTGGTAAATTTAATCTGCCAATACCGGCAATAATTTCACGCGATTCCTCCGATGTAAATTCATTGACTGGTAATTTTAACAGTGCATTCAATAAATGTTCCTTCTCCTCTTCCATTGTTTTATTCATTGGTCCATTACAATGACTGATTAGTAATAAAACAAGTTGTCTTACGGTTGCATTATTATCAGCTTGTTTCATTACTTTCATTAGGGTATTTGAACTTGAGGAGTTTAGTTTACCGAACATTTCCTGCGCCTTTTCGATTTCATTCTCGGTAATGTTAATCACTGAATCACTGATTCTGGAGTTGGGAATGTGTGTTTCTTGTGTGCCTGGATTGGTGGAGGTTACTGATGACGTTACACTGGTGATGGTTGTGTAGATTGGATTTGGTGTTGCTGTATTTTCGGTTGAATAGGCTGATGGTAGTAAGGTGAATGTTGTTGGGGAATCGTTGTCGTTTGGTGACCATTGCCATGGGGTTGATGAATCAGTGATGAAGTTTTGAGGGGTGACACTGTTTGATGCATCCGTTGCGAGAAGTTCTTGACTTGGGTTTGTATTGAATTGTGTGGGATCGGCTAATCTTGGACCGGAAGTCGATAATTGATCGTGTATCAAGTCGTGATTAATTCGCTGAGGATCGAGGAATACTGTTGTTTCCCATAAGCGAGTTACTTCCGGTGATGAGGTCCAGTGATCGTTGGGTGTCTCAACTGGTGAGGTCGTTGTTGTATAAGGCCTTGTATCCTTTGTGTTGAAAACACTATTTGATCTTCCAGTTGCTCGTAGTCTATTGTCTAGTTCGTTTCTATAACTGGAGTGCACATTCGTTGCTGTTACCAAAGTCTCGTGATTTTTTAAATTCGGTGTGTCGTAGTAGCGAATTCTGAATGGTTCAGTAGTCGAGGGGATTGAATTTTCCCTTTGATTTTCTGTTCTGTAGTTTGAATTTTTATTTTGGTATGGACTCTGGGAAGTGGGGAGCGCGGGCGGTGTTAGTTCTTGTTCAGGACGATTTTGATCATAGAATCCTCGTTGCTCCTCAGTTTGAAAGAATGAAGAAGGCGTTGTTGTGGGAACGTAGTTTGTGATTGGAATTGCGTCGAATGGTTTTAAATTTTTTCCATAAGGTTCTCGGGTATTGTTTTGATAACTAGCTTTGTTTGTTTCTGGAAAGTAATTTTCGTAATCGTTCAATGAATTGCTGGGAATTATGGAGTTTCTATTTTCTTGCAAAACACTGTTTACTTGATAGGCAAAATTGTCATTTCCGGCTCGATTATTGACGTCTGGTAGTTGAGTGGTTGAATACTGTGAATTTGAAGAAGTCACGGATGTTGTGTAGTAATCGGTGGATCCTTCTTGATTACTTTCAGCAATATAATTTGTTGGTTGATTTGGATAAGGTGTTGTCGGTCTTCTTCTTCTGGCAGTGTTACTGTCGTCGGAGAAATCGAGAACCTCGTCCTTTTCTTTAGTGACTGATGGATATTCCTCGGTGGTTGTGGGTGATAATGTATTCTCGGCATTTTCATCCTCAGTTGATAATGAAGGTTCTGTGGGTCTTATTTCCGTGAGAACTTTCTTGAATGTCTCGGGATCTTGAAGATAAGCCGATAAGGCGTGAGTAAAGACTTGTGCCAACTCTCGAAGTTTGGTGCTGTTTGACTTCTTGGCAGCGTTCAAAGGACCTTCACTTTGTTGAATATCAAGATCATCTTCAAAATCGTTGCTCGAATTTAGTTCACCACTTGTGTCTTCTAGTAGAATGGCGGTATTATTTTCTAAAGCGTTGTTAAGATTGAATAAATCAATGTAGGAATTAATGGTATGTTGAGTTAGAATACTAGTAGGCAGTTCTACCGATTTATTTCCATTTTTCGTTGCAACTTCGGTTTTGTATTCAAGATTTTGAGAAGATTCGGTGATATTAGCCAATCCTGAATTATCAGCCGCTGTGGCAAAGTACAAAGCAAGGGAATGTAAAGTTGAAGGTCCGGAAGAACTCGGAATATTCAATCCACTTCGGTTTCCGTTAGGAATATCAGAATTGGTTCCCTCCAAACCTTGCAGTGATTGTATCATGTTAAGAACATGTTCTTTCTCATTTTTCGGTCTATCATCCAAAATGGGTTTACTCGTAACAGACGTTGTTTGTTTCGGTAAATAAGTGGCTCCGGTTCCTGATCTGCTCGGCGAGAATGAAGCCGAATTGGATTTAGAATTGGGAACAAGATCGTTAAAACTACCACGATTATTAGGTGGAACTGTTGCAGTATAAATAGTTGGTTTTTGAGTTGTTGCACTTGCGACAGTCGTGTAAGCATAATTCTTTGTAAATGGTACATAAGGCCGAGACGTTGAGGCCTTACCTTGACGATTCGATAAACTCAAATCCGGTTTATTAGTTACGGAATTTTCATTAAACGATTTTTCCGTCGCTGCATTCACGATAGAATTGAGCTGATAAATTTGCGATGATCTCGATGGATTCTTTGTTGAATACTGAATGTCATTTCGTTCTCCATTTTGGTAATTTTTAGAGATCTCGAAACCTTGCGGTTGCTTATTTAATACAGTTGCTGAAGGTGTCACTGTATTGTCAACGTAAGTGATTCCCGAGGAATTTTGACGGTATGCTTCAGTGGCCTGATTAGTTCCGGTTGGAGAATTTTGATACGCTTCGGATTTGTAATTATTTTGATAAGTACCAGTTGCGGAATTTTGATAAGTACCAGTTCCGGAGTTTTGATGAGTACCGGTTCCGGAGGTTTGATAAGTACCAGTTGCGGAATTCTGGTAAGTACCAGTTGCAGTAGCTGAATTTTGACGATAATTTTCAACTGGTCTCAAAGTAGTGAATTCCTCCTGATAATTGCCGGTAGTAGGATTATCATAATAATTAGAATATGTAGAATCGTAAATTGTGGTTGGAACAACTGTTGTTGGATTCTGTTTGTAGTAATCAGTGTTGACGTATGTTTTTTGAGTTGAAGTTCTGTATCGATCATCATTTGCAATTTGTTTGTAGTTCTGAGCATTTTTGTTATTATAAGCAAAACCGTCAGTTGTGGTTTGAGATCGAGGTGTTGTTGTTGGTCCTCGTTTATCAGAGGAAGTTAGTCGCGGTTTGAAGATGGGTGTGAATGTGGGTCCCGGGAATGGAGGTATACTACCAACTTTTGGCTTTGTAGTTGTTGGAGAATTATTCTCGTTTGGAGTTGTAGATTTTTGTGTATCCGAAGATGTTGCACGATTATTCTGATAGTTATTGTACTGACTTGTACTGTAAACTTTGTTAAATCGATTTCCACGATTGTTGACAAATGCTGCACTCTCGGCCATTTGTTGATATTCTCTGATGGGATTCGGAGAAGTTGTTCTGAAGGTTGTAGTTTCCGTATAGGAAGGAGTTGCTTTTTGGGTTATTCCATTGTAATTAGTGTCGGTGAATGATTTAGATTTCGAGTTTCTAGAAACTTGTTTCTCTGTTTTACCTTGACCTTGATCGGAGAGTTGATATTTTCTCCCGCCACGATTATCGTAGTCATTATATTGTTTCGATTTTTCCTTTCGATCATCTGTTAACTGATTTTGTTGTCTGTGTCGTGACTGATGATTATTTGGAAAAACTGTCGATTGTTTTTGTTGATTGAAATTTGTATTTCCCTCACTTAAATCTTGTAGGTCTTTTGGTTTATAGTCCTGGGCAAATTGATTTTGCCGACTTGAGCCTTTATTGTAGTCGAGATTCTGTCTGTAGGGTTGATTCTTGTTATTTTGATTGTCTTGAATTTGATTTTGATTTGCTGTTTGACTGAATGGATTCGATCGACCGTTTTGCCGTCCATCGTAGTCCACGTATTGGAAATTGTTTTGTCCATTTTCCTCCTCTGATGTGCGATGATATTCGGAACTTATTTTCTTCGCGTCATTCCTCTTTCGTTCTTCTTCGGCCAAGAGTTCGGCACTCTGCTCATAGAGTTCCGTTGATCTGCTGCAGTCGACTTTAAACCACCAGTCGCAAATTAATTGCGATTGCTGGAATATTGTACCGTTTGGACACAAAAATGATATCTTGCGTCCATTGTCGCAAATGTGGAATACCTAAAAATAAAAGTCGAAAATATAAATAAAAAGTCAAACTAAAAATCTTGGGAAATTAATAAAAGTAACGAGGATAAAAATATAATGAAAAATAAAAATGGAATCATAATTTTTAGAAAAATGTAAGATTTTTGATAAAAGGAAAATTTTTTTTAAATAAAAATTTTCTTACTTGGCAGTTAGTTTCCAAATCAGCGTAATATCCACCTTTGACTCCGCGACAGGTGAAAGACGTTGTAGGAATTGTTGTCAGGACTGGAAAGTCGACCCCAGGTTGACCCGTAACCCCTGAAAAATTGTTAGGAGATTAATAATTTCATAATAATAAGTGATAATTTCAAAATAACCACCATTAATGAAGTTAAGATAAATAATAATTTTTTTTTTATTACACATTCCCAATTATAAATCTTTGTTATATTTTATGATATAAATAACATGCAAAGCGTTAGTTAGAATTATTATACCCGCTCCCTTCAGCCATTCCTTTAGAAGATCCTCGTTTCCGAAAAAAACTGGCAACCAAGAAATGAGTGTATTTAATTTTCTTAAAGTAACACTTTTGAAATGAAACTATATACAGCAAATCTCATTATTTAAAAAAAAACTTGATAATTTTCTTTACCTAATGAGAATTTACTGTATGTACTTTTAAATATGTATAGAGAAACTTATATTAGTTATATAACTTATCAATGTAGTCTTTTATTAGTGTTGTTATTATTATTAGTATTCTAATTAGGTATTTTAATAATTATAGGCAATTAGAAATTAATTCCTAATATTAGTACAAGTGCTTCCTGTCTAAAATTATTTTTAAAATGATGAGAAAATGATGAAAACCTTGGTATATTTGGTACTCGCCATTCTTTTCGGGGGCAAGCCTTTTTACAACTTTTTTTAAGTCTTTAATGTCTTCTTCCGAAGCTTCTATGCTAGCCAAATCCAATTCCGAGAGGAATTCTGGTAGCTTCGGACTTTCTTCTTCATCTGATACCTGAAAAATAAAATAATAGTAAAATTTTGTATCTTTCGAAACTATTCGAAATATTGAAAAAAATGGAATAAAAGTTTATTATCATTTTTCTATAAAATTCGATTGTAGTTTCTTATCAAGTTTTCTAATTTTAACTAAGAGGAAGAATAAATTGAATAGGACCTCGTGGATAGAATTTTCATTATAGCATCCCGGAAATTGATCTCGTATGTATTAATTTTCTTCTAGTATCGTAGTTAAGAATATTCAGAATATTTTGAATCAACTGAATTGTATTCTATTTGAAAAAGTAATTTTTAAACAACAAAAGATTTTTTATTTGTTGAAAAAAACGTTTTGTTAGAAACCACACCATGTGGTAACCATTAGGAGAGGACAATCGCTGGTGAACGTTGAAGATTCTCTCTCTTCGTTTTTATTTTATTTTCTTACATTTTAGGTACGGGAAATGAGAAAGAAAATGATCTTCCCTAGAAAAATGTTTCTGCAGAATAATATTCTTTATAAAAATATACAATTCTCTATTATACTGATGGCAGGGGATTTTTTCTAAATTATTTGAATTACTAATTAATGGGAGATTAATTCTAAATAAAAGCAGAAGTATTAAAATTTTTCGTTTGACTTTTATATTTAAAGAGAATTTTGCAATAAATTTTATAAAAGAAAAAAGAAATTGGTATAATAATTAGAGAAGCGAGGGGAATATAATTTGGAAATTGATTAATATCTCTGGAAAGTTTTAGAGTTTCCACAGATCGAGTGTATTTTATCGTTCTCTTTGGAAGTTTGTCACCCAGCACCTAATTTACTGTTCGATAAGACGTGAAATACGTGTTTGTAAGTGCCGGTTGCAAAGTTTCCTAAGTACCTTACGATTGAATCTATTGTTTCGCGTACCGAAACATACATTTTTAAATTTGATTCAAACTTTTCACTTCCTACTTTTGTGCAGTGTTATAGAAAAAGTACTAATGCAATTTTAGTAAACTCGAATTCTTGTCCACAAGACGTTACCTACTTTATATATAAATTAAATTTAGTTTCCCTCTCAACTACCTATATATTGATGCGTACAAAACTTGTGCGTAATTTCTCAATTAAATCGATTTTACGAAAGCGTTAAATTAAATTCTTCATCCATCAATAAACATTTCAATTATATATCAACTTTCACTTTAATTACTATTCGCATTATTCTTTTTTTTAGTAAAAATTATATTATGTCATCTAAATTAGTATATTATCTAATAAAGAATTATTTCATATAATGAAAATAAAAATGGATCAGAATCATAAATCAAAAAAATAAATTAAAAAAATGAATTCAATTGAAAAAAAGAAATAAAAAAATGAATAAAAAAAACTGAAGTTTATTTGTGGCTATAAATTTATTATTTGTTTATTGATTGATAACGTGTAATAAAGTTAAAGGGGTTTTTTTTGCACATAAACTGAAAGCATAATTTATTCCATATTTGTATTTGTACTTTGTCGGTTTGGTAAATTCTGAAAATGAAATACTACGTAAAGCAGTGAAATTTAAACCCTCCCGTTTTATGAATCGTGATATTTCAAAAGTTTGCCAACTCGGAACTTCTGTAAACTCCGGCTGCTTTAAAAATATTACCTACTCTCTGTGAAACAGCTCATAAAACGTCAACTGAACATGGCTTCACCACATTTTTCTCTAATAAGGAAAAAATAAAAGTATAATTCTCTCAAATTCTATGAGATTTAACAAAAATTACTTTGATTGTTTACAAAGAAATCAACCCCCAGTATAAAAATGATAAAACATTTCTGTTTCGATTGCAATCATAATTTTATTTGTTTAGATAAGTAGATAATCAAAGAAATAATAAACTAACAATAATAAAGTAATAGAATATAAATAAATTTACTTTGATTCAATTTTTCCCCCTTTTCCTGCTATTGATAGATTGTATTTTATGGACTGGGAAATTATTAGGAATTTGTATCCTAGTTATTTTGATGGGGAAATTAATTATATCCTCAGATGAGTGATAATATTCTTGACACATGAAAGGTAGCCTTAGGTGACCAAATATATCCAAATTTAATTAAAGTACATTCTACATGGTGAAATTACATTATAATATAGTCTAGAAATTGTAATACACACTACACTGATTATTCTAAAATCATTTTCTATCTTCATATTATTAATTAAGCTTTATTTACTGCATTACTGAAATTCTGTTTGTGATTTATCATTTTCTAGTTCGGGAATTAGTAAAACATATTTTGATTACAAAACTTCTACTAATATTAATTATAATATATGAACTCGAATCGAATAATGAGTTAAAAAATTAATTAATTTTTATTTCATAATTTAATTTATTTATGCATTAAAAAAAATTTATTAAAAATTACTATTTTCGAAGTAAATTTTACTAATGAAATTTTTTCTAATTTTCATAATAAGAGAGTTTTTTCGGAAATAGTAAAAGTTCTTCTGGAAATAACAATTTTTTAATAGTAAATTTTACTATTTTTGGTGAAATTTTTACTAAGTTCAAAGTAAAATTTACTAACTTTGAGTGGAATTTCCTTCGGTTATAGTAAAATTCAAAAAATTAGCTAAAAAACTATTAGCTTTAAATCATTTTTTATTTTTTACAATTTTTTTTTTAAAGACGAGATTATTAAAAAAAAATAATTAATAATTCGAATTCTCAAAATTACTAAAAATAATTTAATTAAAGTAGAATTTCAGTGAAAATTCCATAAAATATAATTTAATTTTTGAAAACTTACAGGTAGTAACTTTTAGAAATAATTAAATTTTGGAAAAATTACAGTAGTGATTTTTAGAAATAATTAAATTTAATAATTTATTTTAAAATTATTAAAGAAATTAATAAAATATAAATTTTATTTCAATAAAATTTGACTAAATATTGACATTGTTTGAAAATTTTGCAATTAATTATATTCAGAATTTCAATTATATTAAAGAAATTTTAATTACAATTTTTCAGAAACCTAATTTTTTCAGCATTTCAAAAAATTAATTATTTAATGTTTCAGTAATTTTTAAAAATTATTTTAAATACTTAAGATTATTTATTATTTTTCCATATGAATTAAAATTTTTAAAAATAACAATTTAAAATCTCCTGAAATCTAATTATTTCTATAAATTGCAAATATAATTTTTCCAAAAATCAATTATTTTCTAGAATTTTTAACTATAGAATTTAATATATATAAATTATTTTTAATAATTACGAGAAAGTTTTTTGAGAATTAAATTATTTAAAATAAAAAAAAATTCTTTTAAAGAACGTCTAAAATTTAATTGTTTTCAATGAAATTTTACGATATTTCGATTATTTGAAACTGTTTAATTAAAAAAATTATGTTTTAAGTTTTGAACGTTTAAATAAACAAAATTTATTTATTTCTTCTCTCCAAATAAAATTTTTATTACAATACTTTTTTGTCACTATAAAAAATTAATTATTCAGTTTCTAAAAGTAAAATTTATGTTTTTATTTTTTATTGCATTACCCGTGTGGAAAAGTGAGGTGGGCCCACGGTGGGTCCCAGGTGGGCTTCCCAGGTTCTAGGTGGGTCCCAGCAGGGATGGCCCAGGTGGGCGATTCCTTGGCTTGTAACGGTGAATCCAGCCACAGCCCACCTAGGAAAAATCCAGCTGGGGCCCATAGATTTAGTTTTCATTCAAATTAATGAATAAATTGTTTATTAATAACAAATAAGTCGAATTATAAATAAATAACGTTATTATTTAACGATTTTTACTTTTTTTAATGAAATTGTGACCAAAAGCAAATTCATAAATAATGTTAGCATATATATGGGAATTAATATATATCCTTTCATTCATAAATTAAAAATTTATAAAAAAATTAGAAATTTGTTAATTAAATTATTAAACGGTATATATAATCACTAAATTGCATACTTATACGAATACAATGCAGAAAAATCGGAATAAACGCAAACCTAAGAAACAAATAAAATTTAACGCACGCGGGGATTGAACCTACGACCTACGGACTACTAGACTAACGCCCTAACCACTATACTACGGAGACTAACTACTGAACACCGACGTTTTATTGTCAGTGACTTGTTAATCTGCTGTAATGATTCAATAAAGCACTTACTGACACGAATACACCGTAACAAATAAATAATTTAATAATAATTATAACAATATTATTAATGTAATAAGAACGATAAATATTCTTAAAATAATATTTATATTATTATGAAAAAAATATATCAATACATTTTTATTAAAAATGTGTTTTTTATTGTTTACAATCATTATAAACATTAATTTGTTGGTCTAAAAAAAAAAATTTTTTTTAGTTTGGACTTAGAAATTTTTACTAATTAATTATGTGGACATTACATAAAAAAAATATTGTGAATACATTTTTGTTAAAAACACGTTTTTTCTTAATCTAAGTCATTATAAACATTAATTTTTTGTTGAAAAAAAAATTTTTAGGTTTGGACTTAGAAATTTTTGCTTATATAATTATTGATGTGGGTCCTCAAAAACTGGGAAGCCCAGGTAGGACCCAGCTCACGCCCACTTATAATATTATTTCGCCTGACCGGAACCCACCGTGAGTGGGTCAATAGACAAACTCTAAAATGCTTCCGTAAAATGTTAACATGTTTGTCAATTGTCAATTCATGTACGAAGATGACCATAATTACATCAAAGTTTTATTATTAAATGTTAAAGAAAAACTAAACTATTTAATAATTTTCACTGTAAACGATTTTTGTTATTATATATAATAAATTTTACTAATGTTATATTGCAGTCGTTATTGTTTAAATAAATAATTGTTGTTAATTAGTAACTCCTGACACTAGCTTCCAGAAAGATGCAGTTTTTTTCTAATTTTGCAATTAACTAATTCGAACCACATGAAATAAAAATAATTTAAGGTTTTAACAATTCAAAAATTGTTTAAACAAATGATTGT